GAATGCCTTTCTTGTACAGTGAACCATGTAATTGATTCATTCCTCCTCTGACAACTCCTCCCAGCCTTTACTCTGAATAATTAACTTTGTGTGCACCACCTAAGATAGCTTAACATTATGAGGGATGTTTTAGAGCATATCTGCTGTAGGTGGGTGTATACTAACATGGCCTGGAGGATAACCTCCTAGTCTGACTAGGTACATTTCAGAGAAGTGTTGTGTGAAAGTAAATGGTTTTATGACAGCATTAGCAAAGGTGGTGAGAATCTGTTTAGTACTTGCTGAACCTCTGCACTTTATTTTAATGTGCTTATATTTTAATGTTTCTATTTTACAGTCATGTATAAAGTCTGTGTCTTTGAGTGCATACAGTTTCTACAGGTCATAATTTTACTCCTGAATATTTTTGATTCACTTGATTACTGATGAGAGCGTTAGTAATGTGCTAATAGTTTGTTTCAGGTCATAGTGCCTTTGCAAACAGTGCTCTGATATATGACAGTATTGTCCAGTTGTTCAGAACAACAGATTTATGGCCTGCTGCCCTGAAAGCGGATATGTGACTTACTCAGAGGTGGCTTACTTGATTTGACTGTTGCCATGGCAAATCAAACAAAAAAAGTTATTCAGCAGTGTTTGACTGTGCAATAATGTGTGTGGTTTCAAACAGCAGAGGGAATTCATCATTTCATCGCTTTCCATTCACCACTGCTTGATCACTTTGTTCCAGCACAGTGTCTGCTTACTCTAATCTTCAGTATATTCTTGTCTTTTCAATGAGATGAGAGTGCATGTGCTCATGTGTTCTGTCCACCAGTGTTCAGTTTACCTTTCAGTTTGGACACTGATCATGACAGAACAGTCTCAGTGACACAGAGAGATGAACGGGAGACAGATGTACAGAGGAGAGAGGTGACCTCAGGATAGAAAGCTGATATCATGTTCCTGTGAGTGCTGGAAGTGTTGGCTATAATGCACAGTTCTTTATATAGTCGTGCAAGAAAGACTTGGTGAAATCAAGACAGGAGCTCTAATGTTAGCGGTCTGTAACAGCAGCACAACTTTAGGGTGCTTTACAGCCTGTTGCATCACTTTACTGTGCTGTAATGATTAATCTACGTAGCATCCTACCCTTAGTGGCTTGGTGACCCACTAAACAAACACAGATATGAATAGCAGTGAACATAATATTGTTGAAGTAAGACAAATTTGTCACTGGTCTTATCAAATTACCAGAGTGTGACTTTGATTGTCATGGCAGTTTTATCTTTTCATATCCTGTCTATAAAAAGATTTGTAAAATGTAAGTAATAGAATACATTAATGGTGATTTTATGTTGTTTTTTTTTTCCCAAACATCACCAGCCTTTACATTACACACTCATAGACTGTGTGACAAAAGACCTGAAAACCTTGTGTGTCGGGGTAAAAGTTCTTCCATGATACATGATCAGGGAAATGTGTAAAACTAGACACTTGGTAACCTACATGGATGCCCAGTGACTCCCTCCAGGGCAGTAACTGATTGAATCTTGTTCTTGACTAGCCTAATGTTTAGAACTGCCCATTCACTGGGCTGGTGTGTGTGACACACCAAAGGGTGTGTGTAAGCTAGTCATAGTGTGTGTTTAGCGGTGTGTGCATGTGGATATTATAGAGAAGGTGTATGCTTCCATGTGCATGTGGGTGTCTCCGCAGAGCTCACAATGATAGAGAGCATGCGTGTTGCTCCATTCATTTGACTTTGCTCTTGCTTCATTTTAATCACTTCATTGCAGATGCTTTTTTCTTTGATTCATACTTCCTGCTGTACTATTTACTTTAGTGAGAATTTTTTTCCATTCCATTTTTTCCCTAAGAAATATAGAGAGAGAGGGTAGGAGGAGCCGGACCGAGAAGTGTGGCTCACTCTCTCTCTCTTTCTTTCTCTCTCTCTCTCACACACACACATGCTGCCTCTCTTCCATTCTGTCATTGCCATCTCGGCAGAACAGAGAGTGTTCGTTCCCAGCTCCGCTGTATGCAGGGGGAAGCACACTTTTGGCTTTGTTTAAGTCAGATTTTACAGAGGAATATTCATTTTCTTCAAGATAGTCGAAGGATCAGGAAGAACAAGGAAAATAAAGTAAGAAAAAAGATCACAAGGATTTGTTCTTAATTTTTTTTTCCGGTTGTATTGAGAGGCATGTGACAGCCGGTTTTACCACTGAATTCTTTGTCACAACAACACGTGAGACAGTCTAATCGCTCTTTCTTTGATGTTGTGCTTTTTAGTTTTACTTTGAGAGAATATACTGACATAAGACAAAATGGTTGCTGGAATGCTGATGCCCCTGCGGGACCTAAGGGCCATCTATGAGGTCCTGTTTCGAGATGGTGTCATGGTGGCCAAGAAGGACAGGAGGCCTCAGATTAAGCACCCTGATGTGCATGATGTGAGCAACCTTCAAGTAATTCGTGCAATGGGCTCTCTTAAGTCCAGGGGCTATGTGAAGGAGACATTTACCTGGAGACATTTCTACTGGTACCTGACCAATGAGGGCATTGTTTACCTGCGTGACTACCTCCACCTGCCCCCTGAGATTGTCCCTGCCTCCCTGCAGAGGGTGAGGAAGCCAGCTGCCTCTCAAGCCATTACCCAGCGTGCTACACGGGTCCAATCTGTTGAAGGTCCTACCTCTTATGTTCCCAAGCCAGGACGCAGGGGTGAAGCAGAGAGCCAAGAGGCAGTGGCGGAGCGTCAAGGCTATCGCCACAGGATGATGGGTCCAGGAGAAAGGGAGAACTACTTTGATAGGACCCCCAGGTTCAGGGGCCGTCCACTGGCTGCAGAACCAGTCAGGCCAAAAGCATCATGGGAGGGGGAAGACCATTCTCAGCCCCTCTTCAGCAAGGAAAGCAGCATCAGAAGTGAAGCAGAGGTGATGGAAGAGAGCAGGATGAAAAGACTCTCTCGTCAGCAGCCTGCTGTAGGCAGAGAGAGGCCAGTAATGACATCACAGGAGAGAAGAGTGTTTGAGGTCCAAAAAGAGAAAGTGCTTGTGCCTGTTCAGATGGCAGCTTTGAAACAGGATGTACAGCAGACCACTCAGACAACAGTGTCCTCCAAAACAGCCCTCCCATTAACTGTGGCTGCTGTCACTGAGGCTACAGCTGCTGCAACATCAAAGATTCTAGGAGAACCCAAAACAAATAAGGAGAAGCCTAAAATTACTGATGAAAAAACTTTCACAAAGTCTAGTGAAATGTTCACAAGCAAATCAGTCATCACAAGATTTCCTGATACAGAGATCAGAGAAGACAAGAGAAAAAAGGTCACTGTGGATCCAGTTAAATCTGCAGAGGTGAAGGCTAGAGCTGAAACAGTAATTGATAAAGTACAGTCCCAAGCACTTATCACAATGGCTGCTCCTCGGGAACCCACCAGTCTCATTACTGACACTGCCACAGCTACCAGTGTCATCACAAAATCTATCAATAGAGATGTCACAGGACAGAAGACCAAAAAGGTGATTGTGGATCCAGTTAAGTCTGCAGAGGTGACGACTATAGTTGGAACCGTAACTGATGAGGGGAAACCCCAGACAGTTACTGCAATAGCATCTGCTCAGGAATCCTCCAAATGTCTTACTCCCACTGATGCCGCCGCCTCTGTCATCACAAAACCTGTTAATAAAGATGTCAAGGAAGAGAAGCTTACAAAAACAAAGGTTACTGAGGCATCACTTAAACCCACAGTAGAGAAGACCCCAGTTCCAGTAGAACCAAAAACAGATCACGAGAGAGCCAAAAAACCTGCCAAAGTAACTATCAGTCAACAGACCACTACACCCAAACCTGACAGCAGCAAGAGCAAACCAGAGGGGTCTACTAATATAGCACAGGAGCTCTCCACAGTTAAAGTGTCTCAGGAACCCATTGGTATGACAATGACCTCAGTGAATCTCTCAGAAAAGCCTAAAACTGATGGCGTTCTCCAGAAAACTATTACAGTGACTGAATCCTCAATACTTGAAAGTAAAACCACCATTAGTACAACAAGCCTTATGGCACCTGTGGCCAATGCTGAAGTTGCACAACCAGTCACGGGGGAAACTACAATAACAGAGATGATTAGAAAACAGGGAAAAAGAGATGTAAAGATAACTGCTCATGTCAAGAAGGATGAAAAAGTAGCACCAGAGGAGGAGCTTAAAGACTCAATACAGGGCCCGACATTAGTGCAAAAAGACACCTCTTCACCTCAGCACAGTCACAATGTTGTCACCACAGAGGTGATTAAAGAGACCAAACAAGTGCTTGAAGGAAGCTCTAAATCCAAAAGAAAGAAAAAGAAAGGTGAGATATCCAAGACTGTCACTGCAGAGGAGCCAGCTGCCACAAAGGTGGAGGAGATAAAAACCTCTGAAGACAAGCTCCATGAGGAGGTGGTAAAGAATACCCTCCAACCCTTACCAGTGATGACCTCAGAGCCCAGTATAAAGACTGAGGGGGGAACACCTGTAGAGAAAAAAAGGAGTCCAACAGACATTGATAAAGATCAAATAAAAGAAGTACCCAAACACGCCGATGGCAAACCAAAGGAGGAAGTTTCTGAACAAGCTAAGACTATTTCTGAAGAAGAATTAGGTCAGATTCTTGCAGTTTCGCCAGTGGAGCATACAGATGATGCACAACTAAGAGCAACGGTTGAGGAAAGCAATGTCAGCAAGATCACACATGGACCATTACTCTCCAAGGGTGAATTAAGTGCTATGTTGCCCCACATGAAGTCAGAGGAAACTGCCATCATCAAAGTGGAAACAGGGAAGGTGAAAAAAGTAATCCAAGTTGAAGCCATACAAGAAAGCTCCAAATGTGAAGAGGAAAGCCCTGCACCACTGTCAGAATCTCAGAAACCCACAATTGTCACTAAATCCCTTTCAAGCACAGGGAAAGCTACAGAGGAATCTTCAAAGGGTAAGAAGAAAGGCAAAGAAAAAAAGCAGGCTAAGGCCTCAGAATCAGAGACTGTAACCACAAAGCCTGTCATTTTGCCTGAAGTTTTGCCATCCACTATGATTACATCATTTCCTAAGGCCACAGGTAAAGGCAGCCCTGTCATGGCCTCTGAACTGACAGAAACCAGTGTTTCTCCAAAGATTGTTCCCAAAAGAATGTGCAGTGAGGAAACCAGGCAGTCAGCAGCTGTGCTCTCTGAGGCCCCAGCAGACAAAGGGGAGGCGGAGCCAGTACTGCTCAATACAGAAAAAATCAAGCGGGAGGTTCCGAAACCAAAAACATCCTCCACTGCTAGGGAAGCACCCGCAGCCGGAGAATTAGCGTCAGCAGCAACAGTAACGGCAGAGGCAGGCGCAGCTCCAGCCCACGGCCTCCCAGAGTTGCACAACATTTGACCACTCAGGCAGCAGAGCACAGCACACAGAAAAAGCTCTCTGTAACTGAGGCCTCAGAGCACGAGGAAGAGAAGAAGAGGGACTTGAAGGAGGACACACCCTCTGTGACTGCCACACCTGGGGCTTCCCAGCCTGCACAGCCTGACTTGGGTGACACCTGTAACTCTAAAAGCCCTGACACAGACGAGGCAACCATGAAGAGGAAAATTGTAGTAGTAGAAGAAGAGATAGTTGAGGTGAAGCAGCTTGTTAATCCTCAGGCAGCTGGGGAGCAGACATCTCCTCCACCACCTGTGCAATGTGAGGCAGAAGAAGTGGAACGGGACATGGGTATTAAGGGACAGATCATATCAGAGATGGCACTTTTGAACAGGGATGAAGGGGCCAAGATGAAAGAAGCCTCAGCTGATACAGAATGGGACCACTCACTGGAGGAGCCTCAGGAGAAGAAGTGGCCTAATTTCATTGAAGGTTTGTTTGAATGCATGCCAGTAGACCTGCTTCCTGCCTTGTCCTGCTCACTTTGCATGTGATGTAATTGCTTGTGCACCTACAGTAGGTTCCCACCTTTCTTTGACGTGTGGGAGGTCTTAGGTAACGTATGTGATGACAGCTCAGTTGTAGCCCTTCCACACTATTGTGTACTTATATGCCAAGGAACATTCCCATACTGTGACTATTTGTCTCTGACTTCTTTTCCAAAGTATTATTTGGAGCAGTGTGATTACGGGTTATGACTTATAGTTAAGATATTACAGAGCCCAGCCTCTGTTTTTTGATTATGGACTAGACGCAGTCTTTCTTTAGGAATAGCTTCAGTGAGAGGGTGAGAAGAGTCCATTGAGATGTGGCTGTGATTTTATTACGTGTGTGTTAAATCAGATGAAGTATTAGTAACACTGTCATACTGTAGCACATCCTGGGGTGTATTTGAAACACTGTCACATTTCACACAGCTATTAGAACATAGATTTCTCTTCCACACATAATCATCGGTGAAACTAGCACTTAAAAACTAACCTGTGTAAGAAAACTTGACTGCAGTCTTGAGTAGTGCACGAGGTTAAATGCAATTTCCCACACTGTTGATGCATATTAGTGGCAATTATTATTCTGTGCAGTCAAAGTCACCGTTTTTGGGGTGGGGAATTCCAGTTCTGTTGGATAATAAACTGAGCTCTGCACATATTTGACAACGGTAATCTTTGGAACCATCTCTGGGTGTTTGCCAAATGAGATTCTGCAAACCTGCAGTCATTCCAGTGAGATGGGACTGTTTGGTGAAGTTCAGCCTCGCCTTTTCCCTGTAGAGATAGTTGTGCAGGAGTTAAAGCCAAACTAAGTAAGTGAGGGAGGTGTGGTGCTGCTGGGAGTATTTCTCCTCTTTGCTCCAGTAAGACTGTGCTCTTGGCACTGGTTTATTCTCTGCGGTTGTTTACTTGATTCTGTTTTTCAGCCTTTCTTGTATGTGTACCCCCTGCATGCCATTATGTAAAGTTATGCTAAGGATATGGGAGTTATGCTGACAGTGTGAGACCAGCACTGTATGCACACCTCCTTTTCTGCATCTGGAAAATAAAAGTTCCAGAAAGGCCAAGGAAAGGCGCCATGTGACCGTGTTGTTGGCTCTGCTGAAGTGAAACTGGTATTGCTCCTATTAAATCATCCCAGATTTTGGAAGATGTATAATATTTCACAACTTTCATAGGTAAAATAACATGCTATTCTGTCTAGCGTGCGCATTTTTGAGAGGGTTTATGCCAGGAACTTCACATGGGCGTTGTCTGTTGTGGGTGTGAGCAACAGACAAAGACTCAGGAAGCTGGAATAGCTTGCTCACAGCTCTGCGGGTGTGTTTGTTTAGTTCCACATGTGACAGCTGCTCTGGATTCAATTAGCAGCCTAGTCCCTTTGTTCAGTCCGTGGTGCTCATCAGGAAAATCAGCCCCCTTTTGCAGGTAGATAAAAACAGTGTGACCCAGAGATAGCATTTAACTCAGATTATCATCAGAATACAACATTGCCAGTCTGTGAGATGACCACCGTGTTTGCTGACCTACTACTGACATCTGCTGTCCATTAACTGCCATTGTTATCTGTCAAAATGCTTCAAATGCAGTCAGTGCTGTTTAGATTCAGTTCCAAGTAAAACATACTGTACAGTATTTCTCATCATATAGTGGGCAGACTTTATTTATTCATTTATTTGTTTGTTTGTTATAAAGCTCAGAAGTAGTCAAAGCAATAAAAATTGTTTTTTTGTGTTTGTTTTTACTTTAGATGTGATGAGTAGGTTAAAGGGCTTCACAGAAATATTCTTTTGTGCTGTAATCCTTGTGAGTGTGGTATTCTTGGTATGTTATCATTGCACTGCATTAGTGATGTGGAAACCAGGAACAAGGAAAGTATTCAAAAAACTGACTTGTGCCATAAAAATGTTGATTTCAGAAAAAGAACTTCTTAGGCTGGTTTTGATGTCAAGGGAACACTTTGACATTGTGTGTGGCACTTTTGGTCTTCTGCTGAATACCGGGCGCTGTGCGTGCTTAAGCTGTAGCACTTTTGTATGAAGTGGACATGCTTGACAGGCTATTTGAACTATGCCCACACATGGCACCAGGGGCAGGAGACTAAATCACATCCCGGACATGCCACAGAGGTCCTCCATGTTTTCATCTCTGCATTCTTGTGCAATTGGTTAAATGAACAGCTACAGTACACTGCAGCTTTGTGCCTTTCATTATGGTGGCACATCATTTTGATGTTGTGACTCACCCGCACCATTCTGATGTCTGAGGGCTTGAATTATGAGCTTGGCCTTTTGGAGTAGAAAACCAACTGAAAAGGGACAAAATGAACATTCAGAAGTCATGGTATTTATCAATAGACTATGTTTTGAGTTGGTAGCTTAAGTAGAGTAGTAATTATTTGCTTAAAACAAAGCAAATGACCTTAGTTCTCATGCCTTATCTTTGCCTGGTGACTCCACTTGTGAAATCACTACACACATTTTATCAGACTCCTCATGATTGTCAATATGTATCGCTCTACATTTCATAAACTGAGACTCAAGCACACCAAGCAAACATTTTGTTAGTGAAGGGAAGTTGTTACAGGAGTGTGTGTCAGGACTGATAATACGGAGTTAGAATGAAACCTGAGTGGGCTGCAGTCTGCAGTCATTACATTCAGTCCAATCAGTCCAAAAGAGTTTTTGTGATATTCTTCATGGGCAGGATTAACATACATACATACATACATACGTACACACATAAACTAAAGGACAATTTTCTCCCATGAGCCAGTTCTGTGTGATCTTTCAGCACAGTGGGTTTAGCTGCCAATGTCAACTCCTCTGCTGGCAAGCACAGGCTGATATCACATTTAATGGCTGTCTATTGCAACATAATGACTAGAGGCTGGACAATGATGCAGAATATACTCGTTTTAGCACTTTAACAGTTAAGATGATGAGATGCTTTTAATCTCCATATGTTCAGAAATGCTGTTGGGCTGTTTTTAGCCTTATAAGGTTCACCCGGGTTTGACCTTTATGTTTTTACTTTTATTTTATACTGTATTATCTCAAGGGGCACCACCTGTTTAGATGAATCTGATTGATAGGTAGAGGGATGCAGATTGATTAAAGAGGTATTTCCCTCTGGACACAAGCTTAGAATACCTTTGGGCTATGTGGTCTATTATAGATGACATGTGCATGAGGAGCCTGGCAAGTTCAGAAGTTTGTGAAGGCACATGGGGATATTCATGGAGGAATTCGATGCAATTATCTATAAATCCACTCCATGGTTTCTCAGTATAGATGCCTTCATTGCACACATTGCATCCATCCATGTTTCATGAAGGAAGACAATCCACGATCTGCTCTCCAGAAACAGAGTGGAATTGCTTTTAGCATTACATACAAATGGAACCAGTTGTCAACACTACAACTGACAAAGCTATACAGAGTCTACTATATTTAGAGAATGATGCACATCGCTGTGGTCCAGGAGCAATAGGGGATGAACACTGAGAACTCTAGCCATGCTCTCAGTCTGTCCATCATTAAACTCCAGTTTGGTGATGAACATTTTGTGCTAGACTTTCTTGTTTTACTAAATATTCCATCAGTGTTAGTCCTCAGTTTTCATATTTACTGATTTTGTTGCCATATATTTAATGCTCCTGCCAGTACTTTTTCCCTTAATGCCAATAAATACATCCAATTTAACCTGTATCTTTTACTGTTTAAATGTCACTAAGTAACAGTAGAATAAACTGAAAGTCCCAGATCACCACCAGTTTGTTATATCACATATTGTGTTGTGTTTTGCTGTCTTTAAGTAAAACGGGTTTCCTGTGATATAATTGTGACCAGTCTGCCTTTGTACATGCTGACAATATTATGACTCTAGCATATGTTAATCAAGCTGTACCCCAGTGGACACTCCGATCTCTTCTCTGGCTGAGAGCTGTGATATCACAGAGCATACCCGCCACTGGCAGCATCACAAAGAGCAATAGAGGAAAAGAGAGAGGGGGTCTGCTTCTGTTTGTGGGGGTTGTCTCTAGGGGGCAAGTGTAGCCAAGAGTCTCACCAGAGCTCTTCCATCTGTTTCTAACTGTGACTCTGTGTGATCATCTGGCTCTAGTGGATATTTATAACAGTCAGTCAGCTCCAGCCCTCTCCCCCTGGCCACCCACCCCTCTGAGCCTTCTAAGCCCTTTGCCCCTGCCCCCTTCCCCAGGCTTGTCATGTTGTCCCTCCTCCTCTGGCTATGGGAGAAAAGGCTGACGGATCCAAACAGCAGGCACTGGCTGTCAAAGTTTAAGACAAGGGAGAAACAAGGCAGTTCAGAGCAAACAAGAGCCTCTCCTGTCTTCTTCTTCCTCTTCTGTCCAGCTCTCTTTTTCTTCACCCTCTTCCTCCTCATCCTCTCTGTTCTTAGATGAAGATCATACCTGGTAGGTCCACAGAGTGGGGTTGCTGTGCCATGTCTGTCTGTGTCTAACACCAATCGTCTGTTTGGCTGATGTTGGTGTGTTCTTGGCAAACGGACCGTGTGAATTCGGTGCACATACTGACATGAACACAACAGAGACACACACACATTCACGTTTAACAAACAGCAGCCTTCGGCGACTTCAGCTACGACTGCAGCACTGTATTCCATATTTAACCTCTCGACAATGTGACTGACATGAATTATCAGCGAGGTTGGCTGCCTTCTGTATTTTCCTTTATTTGATGGTATGATGGTATGCGGATAGACGTAGGTGAGGACAGTGGGGACAGTGTCACCCCCCCACACACAGACACACCTCCCCCTTGTCACCTTTAGGACCTTGAGGAGGTGTCTTTCTTGTTTATCTGACATTTCATGGACATCAACAAGCAAGGATGTCTTATAAAGAGTGCATTTTGTTTAAAATCTATACCTTTTAAGTGTGTGTGTGTGTGTGTGTGTGTGTCTAGGCTATTTCAGATTGCTGCATAACCACAACCAGCCACTGTCATCCAACACAGCCT